TGCTTATTCTTATTCCTAGAAGAATTTACAGGTTAATAAATTCATTTTCAAAGGAGGCCATAAAATTACTAGAAGAAAATATGGAAATACATTTAAATTTGAGTTTAGAAATGGCCTAAGAATGTCCAAGAGGAAAACTCATAAGACAAGCAGTTCCTAGTTTTACTACATAAAAATTAAACTTTTGCATAGCATAAAACACTGTAAGGGGCTGGGGATTTAGCTCAGTGGTTCCACTGCCTACCTTGCAAGCCTAGGGTCCTGAGTTCAATCTCCAGTACCCCCCAAAAAGACTGTAAACAAAGCTTAAGAATCAACAAAGTGAAATACATTCACAGTATACATGTAAAATAACTAAAATCTTTAGTATAAGAACATCATTTACAAAATCATAAGAAAGAGATGAATTAAAAACTCCACAGAATATGAGCTGGTAATTCTTAAAAGGAGAAAAACAAATAGACAAAAATATCTAAAATTTTCTCAATTTATCAGAAGAGAATGAAAGGTATTTTTCCTCAGCAGATTAGATTTAAAAATTCACAACAATTAACATTTACTTAGAAGAGTACAAGAAAATAAACTTAATAATAAATCATTGTAAAGTGTCACTGCTGCTTGGTTAGTGAGTGTCACGAAATAATTTAATTGTTCACATATAACCTTCACTGAAAAAGTAAAGGTACAGAATGTGTGTCCTAAACAGGTACATTTACAACTGATGTCTGGAAGGCGCATCACCACAGTAACATTAACACAAATGTTTAGATGATTATGTAATGATCTCTAATGATATCACCAACTTTTTGTCGCCAGAAGTCCAATGTGCTATCCATTGAGCCACAAAGCCACCTCGTTATTACCAATTTTAAAACCTCAAATCTAGGGCCAGGGATTTAGCTCAGTGATTCTGCTGCCTGCTTTGCAAGCGCAAAGTCACGAGTTTGATTCCAAAACAAAACAACAAAAAAACTCTCAAATCGAAATTTGTATATCAAAAATTCTATGTGTATAAACATCTCTATATAATACAAAAATCATCTTAAAGCAAAATATTTAAAAATGAAATATATAGTTCTCATCAAAATTAGTATTTAACAAAATAAAAATAATTTTGAAGAATAATTTGCTATTTCAAATAAACCTAAGTACATTCCCTTATCACTCTACCAAAATAACCTCAGTGTTGGCCACAAATAATGATTACTATATGCACAAATATAAAAGTTTTAAAAGAATGAGAAATTAGATTCATTCATAGGAAAATGGATACATATTGAGGATATAGTCCTAAGTGAAATAAATAACTCACACATGTGTGAATACTGAATAGTTTCTCTGGTGTGAAAGGCTATAATAGTACATAAGATCCTAATGAGATAATTGACAATGTGAAATAGGAAGAAAAGGGCCAAAGGTGTAGGGAAAATGGGAAGGGTAGGGGAAAGGTAATAAGGGAAAAGAAAAAATATGACAAATTGAAAAAATGGAAATAAAGTGTTTGTAAATGGGGAGGGATGGAGAGGGTGAAGGGAGGGCAGGGACAAGGGGAAAAAATGAGAACCAAGACCTGTCATGTAAATGTACAAGATCCCAATAATGAATGTAATTGTACTGTATACCTAAAATGTACCAATAAACTCAATAAAAGAAAAAAGTATATAATCACAAGTATTATGTTTTTGAGTTAACTGTTCATTGCACAGAAAGAGCAAAAGCCACCAAATTGAAAGGATATTAATTTTTTGTTTATAATTACCTTTTTTGGAATACTTATTAATACATTTGTGTGAACTCAAGGGCTCAGCAGACAGATATATTGTGAAAAAGTTAAGCAATGTTTAGCAAGATAATCCTCAAGAATTGGATGCTAGAGAATTAAATATTCAATGCTTAAATTAACTTTTTATTTGTTACTTAGGAACAAATTGCCAAGAATTATCATTATCAAATAAAGCATTTATTGATTCTCTAGGAAAAATAAAGAGAGGTCTATGTGAAAAAAGAAAAAGAATTTTAGAATCAGAAAGAAGCCAGCAATGGTAACTCATTGTATGAATAACAGCTGTTAAATGCTCAAAATAATTCTTGGTGGCACAGTATTCATGGACATGACTCAAAACTGGAGAGTTTTGACCATTTGTTGCTAAAAAATAAGAAAATAAATTTTAAAATTTTAAACCTGTCCAGTTTTATGACTACTACATGATCTTTATATCTTGGTTTTCTACCCCAAACTTTAGGCTTATAAAGGACATTTCAATGAATGTTGTTGCTGAACTATTACTTTTTAATACAAGATATCAAAACAGTTTCAAAATTTCCAAAGTAATTCACATACATTTTAATATGCAAATATTAACTTGATAAATTAAAACTAAAAGCCTTAGATGGATAAAATTATGATTGATACATGAATCCAAAAGATATATTTTGGATAAATAGAAAATAAACAGGATAATAACATTTCACAGATTCGAGTTAAAATTTGTGACTACCAAACACAAGGAAAACAGGTCATTTTCCACTATGAAAAAAATACAATAGAGTGCTCCACTTTTTGCTGGAACCAAGTAAAAACTTTAGTTTTTAGAAAATGGGTTTAGAATAGACCACAAAAAGTATAGGTAAGTCATTAATAATTCTGAGATAATGTGACTAAAAGTGATCTTTTAAAATATCTTTCTCAAAGGAACCCTTCTCCATTGTTGGTGGGAGTGCAGACTGGTGCAACCACTATGGAAATAAATATGGAGATACCTCAAAGACCTCAGACTAGAGGTTCCATTTGACCCAGCCATCTCTCTGCTGGGTATCTTTCCAAAAGAATTAAAAGAATCATATCATAGTGATATATTCACACCTATGTTTATAGCCGCACAGTTTGTAATAGCTAAAACTTGGAAACAGCCCATTTGCCCATCAGTTGGAAACTGGATAAAGATGTGGTTTTTCTATAAAATGAAAATGGAATACTACTCAGCCATAAATAATGAGAAATTAGATACATTCATAGGAAAATGGATACATTTTGAGGATATACTCTTAAGTGAAATAAATAAGTCACATGTGTGTAAATACTGAAATAGTTTCTCTGGTGTGAATAAACTGTAATAGTACATAAGATCCTAATGAGATGACTGACATTGTGAAATAGGAAGAAAAGGGCTAAAGGTGTAGGGAAAGTGGGAAGGGTAGGGGAAAGTGAATAAGGGAAAAGAAAATAAATATGAGAAAATGAAAAAAATGGAAATAAAGTGTTTGCAAACAGGGAGGGGAGGAGGGGGTGAAGGGAGGGCAGGGACAAGGGGAAAAAATGAGAACCAAGACCTGTCATGTAAAGGTACAAAATCCCAATAATGAATGTAACTGTACTGTATACCTAAAATGTACCAACAAACTCAATTAAAACTAAAAAAAAATCTTTCTCAGATGTCTAGAGGAATAAAAATTTAGTACTGAAAAAGGTTCTCCTTAACTTCATATTTAATACTTTTAATATGCTTTAAAAATATGGTAGATGATTTTTCAGAATTCCTATCAGCTATAGAATTCTCAAAGGCAGGAGACTCATATGTTCTTGATGGGCAAGTGAAACTGCCTTCTATTGGGCTTTGTGAGTGGGAAGGAAGGATGTTAAAACTTATTCCTTTAACATAGGAAACATAGACGTACATACAGTACAAGAAGCTGAGGTGCAGAATATCAAGGGTACTAAAATAAATTAGGAGTAGTGATTGGGAAGAAAAATCTCAAATTGAAAGCATAAAAGTAGTTAAGAAAATCTCAGAGAAGGTTAGATTTTAATTGCTACCCAGAAAAAGAATTTGAGCAAGTTTTTGTGGATAACATGGAGCACAAGTTTCTTCCTGAATAAAATGAAAATTGTAACTTATTTCTTACAGCTGAAGATTTAAATAGAAAGTATGCAAAAACACCCAGCACAGTGCTCAGAATATTGCTTCTGCAAAAAACAACAACAAAAAAGGAGCTTTCTTCCCTTTTCTCTTCTCTTTTGACAATGTTGTACAGTCTTCACAAAACACAATGCAGATTTCAAGGGCAAATGGGACACAAGGAGAAATGGAATGAACTCAACAGGCAAAGACCTTTGCACATGATTCTGGGCCCAAGTATGTCCAATGATGCTGAAATATAATTCAAACGATGGTTCAAATGCCAAATCTGTGAATTTTTTCATTGTTTCCATGGAGCTTTCATGTGCCTCGATTTCCATTTCAATATTCCAGAACTTTATGGAGTACGAATGAGGTAATTATGTAACACTGTTTGGGAACCAGATGACTACACTAAAGTTACTTTATGATAGGATATTGCTATGTTCTAAACATATCCTCCAGCATTCATGTGCTGGGAGTTTAATTCCAAATAAAGCCATGTTAAGAGATGAAACTTTGAAGAGGTGATCACATCATGAAGGCTCTGCTCTTATGAATGGTTTTAATGCTACGATTCTAAGAGTGGGTTACTTACCCGAGGAGAGGTGCTTGATTAAAAAGGAAAATGAGTAGAATGAAGTAACTCTCTCTCTCTCTCTCTCTCTCTCTCTTTCTCTCTCTCTCTCTCTCCCTCATTCCTTCCCTTCCCTCACCCCTCCTTTACTTTGTCCTTTATTCTTCTGCCATAGAATGATATGACAAAAAGGCCCTCACTAGATACCAGCACCTTGACATCGGACTACCTGGCCTCCAGAACTTTTAGAAATAAATTCATTTTATTCATAATCTAATCTGTCTGAAGTAGTCTGTGAAAGCAACACAAAGCCAACTAAGACAGCTATGATTCTTATCAATACTGTCCGGAAATAGAGATAATAACTTAGTCTGTGTACACACTAGGAAAGCCATGGAAAACAATAAAAATGGCTCCTTCTCTAGTGTCCAAGAACGGAATCTGAACTTTAAAATCGGAACCTCAAAGACAGAATTTCTTTGACAGTTGAAATCTAGCTCAAAATAAAATTACCAAAGAATTCTTACCTATCTCTATGTGTATCTGCAAAGCGATCGCACAGGAAAGATGGTCCAAAGACTCCAAGTGGGGTGCTGTGGCCTCTCTTGTCAGCAGTATGGTACATGCGAGAGGCCAGCTGCAAGTCGACTGGCAGCTGCCGGGCTGGGATGGTGGTGCATAGATGGTGAAGCTGAGGAGAGGAGTGCGTCTGTGGGATTCTGCAACACGGAAAAGGATGTGAGCTGCTTCTGCCACTGTGTGGTCTTTAGATATGGAACACATTTATTTTGGCAGCTTAGCTCAGGTTCTAAAAATGATACCTAAGTAGAAGAGGTCAGATATAAAATTATAATAATGGTTTATAACAAGTTTAATATTACAGTCTCAGGCCAGTGTCCAGAGCTTCAAACTCATATTGGACTGTGTACAGAATAACTCAACCTGTGGGTTTCACAAATATCTCAAGATCAAAAGGTGTCTAATAGCAAACTTATTATACTCCTAGCCTCTTCTTGCCTGAATTTATACTCAGTCCAAGGACACCATGTCCAGCCATCATGAATTCCTTCTTTCTACTCCACTAAAATGCAAATGTCCCTGAAGGTAGAACATTATGCATAATACATTATCTGTTTCTTCAAATGGAGACATCTTGTGTCTAAGTCAGTGTAGCAAATCTCTTTTCTACTTTTCCAGAACTTCCCTCTCCTGCCTTTCCGAAGTAGGAAATGCCCCAAGCCATTCTACAAAAATAAAAACAAAACCTTATTGAGCACTGCAATGTGCCAGGCTCTGAGCTATATGCTTTCCATATATTCCTTCTAAATCTCACAGTGAACCTACATTGGAGGTATAGTATCCGCGTTTTGTACCAAGTTTATATTGGCTAAGTCACAAAATAAGTGAATGGCCACTGTGACCCAAACACAGTACTGATGACTATATGCCAAATTTCTTTCCTATTAACACCTATTAACTCCCAAGTAGAGTAACCTTTCATCCAGTACTTCCCTATCCCTACCTTCCTTTTAAAGTTGTACATTTCCATTAATCAAATGACCTTTTCTTCATCAAGTCAACTTTAGATCTGTAAATCGTGTTCTCTAATGACCTCCAGGCTGACGCTAACAATGTTCACGACTCTTCTCAAAATTGCCCTTTCTCCACTGGCTTTCCTCAGCTTTCACCTTTCTCTCAGATTCATCATAATTCAACATAATCCCTGGCCTTTCCTTCTCTAACTTTCCAGACTCGCTGTTAGCTTCTAAGATTTGAACTTCTCTTTCAATACTGGAAAAATCATCTTCCAATATTTCAGTTAATTTCCTCATTCTGAGTGCTCCCTAGTCTCACCTCTGCTGCCACTACCTCCCTTAATTCCTCCTCTTCAAGATCAAAATGCCTCCTAGCATTTGACACTGATTCTAGCTCAGTGGTTGAGTGCAGCTCTACAGTTGAGATGCCTGGATTCAAATCCTTTTTACAATTTTCATTTGGTCATAAGCAAGTTTGGATTTAAGTAAGAAAAGTAAATGCATTTAGAACAATGTCTCATGTAGCTGATGTGAGTTCTTATCAGTTTCCAGGACAAACCACAGGATCAGATTCATCAATTCTTTCGGTTGTGGATAGAATTCTGTCTTCCCTCTTGTCCACACCTGAACATCTGTCAACAATAGCTTGAAGACAGATTCTTCTGCAAAGGTTTTTCTTTTTTTTTACTCTGTTTTACAGACGTCTCTTTTCATGCATTGCCCTAGTCTTACGCCACTCATTTTGATCACTTATCTAATGGGTCAGTGCTGGTGTGTCTGATGCCTCTGTGTGTCTGGGATACTTCAGATAGAAGCACAATATAAATAATGTAGACTTTGGAGTTGGGTGAACCTAAATCAGAAACTCAGTTCTAATAGCTACAAAGTGCATTACCAGAACTCTCTGAAAGACTTCAAAAAATTACAATAAAAACTTCCTAGCTCTTTGTGATAATTTATTTTAAAATAACAGATATATCATTCCTGGTCTTTGGTGGTCTCTTAAGAAATGCTGGTTTATTTTTATTGTTGTTATTAATTTTTACAATGCAGCACCTAATCCATCACTAGGCACAGTATGTGCATTATTCAAACACTGACAGAGAACAGCTTATGGAATTTCCAAACAGGACAGGGTCCAGTAAGAACATAACAGCGATTTGTAAATGTTCATGTGTCGGGCAAGAAAGGAGAGACAAATCAAAAGCACCTGGAAACACCTGAGAAAAGGAGACCTAACTGGGCAAGTAAACTGGGTTGTCCGGGAAGCCAGGGCTTCAGGCACTCTGGGTTCCTATGAAAAAGCTTTCAAAAAAGAGAGAGAGAGGACAAAAAGGTAAGCTCCAATGTCAAGTGCACATGTACCATTATTCTACCTCAGACAGGTCCTGGCTGGTGGAATGTGCTGGAGATTACATTACTGATTTTTTTTTTTCTTTAAAAAGCATGACAGTCAACTTACATTCTTATGCTCCCATTATAGTCTAACAACACAGATTAGCAAGTGAATCTCCCTTGGTCATTGAGCTCAATAACAATATTCTACAATAGAGTACTGAACTCCCAAGAAAACAATTTAATTTGAGGGCTAGTCACTTAGGAAAAGGAGTAAGTTAAAAATAAAGAAAAGGCAGGAGTGAATTGAAAACTCAAAAATTTTTCTCCAAGGTTCTCTTTTATAACAAACTTTTAAAATATCGTATTTTTTCTTTTTCCTTATCTCATTCTTGTTTCCCTTTAATGGAAATTTCTATTTTCAGCTTAAATGAATTAAAACAGCATTATATGTATCAATAAGATCTACAAATATTTTTGGCATGCTCAAGAAAAGCTCTGTGTTTTTATAACACAGTCTCCTTAAGCAAGACTATTTGTCATTCTTTGAAACACTAAGACATAAAAAAGAAAAGACTCTGACTCTGTGTGTGGCCGTACTACTTTGGTTAATGCACTAAATGCAAGGTTTTTTAGGGAAAAAAAATCAAGAAGTTTCTGCTTCATTGATAATCTGACAGTAACTATTTATTGAAGGTAAAATACTTGTTGTCTGCTGTCAGTATTTGTTTTAATACATAATCTTGCTAACTTAATGAGCTTAAAGCAATGCAGATAAGCAATGGCATGTACAGGGTCACTTAAATGCCAATTTGACTGTTTCATAAACTTTGGAATTCTTTTCCCATGAGTCTGTTCTCAGCTACTAAATTGTGAGTAATATCCATTTACAGAGTTTAGGCTAGCCATAAAAAAAGTTCGCTTCCACAGCCAACACACTTTTCAGTCCCCTAAGCAACAGCGAAAGCTAATAATTAAAGGCTCTTTAAACCCCCATAAAGAGTTAAATGAAGAATAATCTAGAATAAACCAACTCATAAAACTCTACTAGTGAAATAAGGAGAAAACCTAAGTTTGGACAAGGTGAATGGTAAAAGGTAAACTATAATCTAAATTGTATTTACACATAATTGTTCAGAATTGCAATTATATTCCTATGTAATAAGAAACTCCATTAAAAACATGGGTGGGGGATGAAACATGAAATGATAGTATAGAAAAATGAAGCCTTCTAAACTGCCAAGTTAATTGGCCTATGGACACTGTGTGTTGGATTGCTATCATAACAAAATTAACTGATCCAATAAGCAGTTAGTCCAAATCAGGCATTGCAGTGATCAAAAATATCAAATTTCACAAGCTAACAATTTTACTTAGTCTCATAAACAGATATTTTTATTCTAGCTATTGTTACATTTGTTAAATTAGACACACTGATCCCAAATGTGAATAGAGGGATGCATGAAGTATAGCACATAGTGCCTAACTGTAAAATCTGCCATTAACTTTTCCTCTGAGACTAAGATCTCATATATGAATTTCTAAAGCATTCAGTTTTCCTGCTAGAAAATGGATATTCATGTATCCGTGCTACTGACTGCTTTTCAAATAATAAAATCTGTGAATTTAAACAAGTTACTTTTTAAGTAGTTTCTGATCTATTTGGGGTTTTAAAAACTTTTTTCGTCTCAGTGGTGGAGTCTCTGATTTACTTCTTTGTGTTCTCTTAACTTCTTTTCCTCTGATTTGCAAGAATTCTGACGATTGCACCTTTAAAAAAATATAAAGTATACTGTTAAGGTAGGTTGTAATGTAAGAGTTACTGTTTTCTGCTATTTAATGGCCCATTTTATATTTAAATGTGTGATTTCTGTGTATATTTTATAACAGAATATGAATCCAATTTCCCTTCAAATCCATTCCTAAATTTTTATATATACATTTCATGCCAATGAAAATATTAGTACTATATATATATATATATATATATACACACACACACACACACATACATATATACACAATATTTATCATTTATTACCTTAAAATTACTAGAGAAATATAAAAAAGATCCTAACCTCCATAAATCTTTTTTCCCTTTCTAGTTTTCTGGGGGTTGAACCCAGGGTTTCACATATGCTAGGCAAAGAGTCTCCACTGAGCTATTTCCCTAGCCCAATACCATCTTCTTGATTTGTATTTTCAACAGAACTTACCTTGTGAAAGAAGTTCAAGCCTGGCTGGGCCAGGTGCGCCGCACTCCTGTCTCCTGAGCTAACTCGGAAATTTTGCCAAGGCTGAGCTAATTCACCTAAGTGCCTAGATGCTGGGTCCAACAAGCTACACCTCCGCCACTAGTGATAACTCCCTTGCCTCGCCCACAAAAAAATCACTCCACCGTGCCTCCAATAAGATATCACCAAACGTTAAATGCTCCTCCCATGCTCCTCCCCCATGGTTGTCCCTACATAAGCCTGTGCATTTCCTGAATAAAGCGGAAGCGTTCCAGAAACCTCCGTGGAGTCTGCCTGGTGATTCCACACCTTGCCCTCCCAGTCTGAGCTCCTGAACCTTGTTCGGTGAGTGGGCTCGCACTTGCGGACAACATTACCTTTAGTTTGATATGTTGTTACAAACGCAAGCTAAAAATAATTTAAATGCTTCATTATTATTATTATTATTATTTACTATTATTTTGAGCAACGTTTATCAATTTGTACTACCTATAGTAGAGCTGTTTTCTATTTCTACTGCTTAGCAAACATAAAACATTCTTTCTCATAAATAACTGTCTTCTAATCAGTACAAGCTTTGGATGTATTGCTTCTAGTAAATTTTGCAGAATTAATGTAGTCATTCATGTAAGGATTTTTCTCCTGAGACTGCTTTTCATTTTGAGACTAGATTTAAGGAAGAAAGCAGAGAGGCCTTATTTGGAAGAAGCACAGAGATATGGTTGATTAAGTAGAAGAGGGCCAGATACGGAGAAGTTCCTACAAATTAGGTGATGAATCTGGGATTGGTTCAGTAGAAAGGAGAGAGTTGTTGAAACTTCTTGGGTAAGGAAGCAATGAGGAATAATAAAAGTTTAAGAAGCATCAAGCATTCTGTTTCTCCCTTCAGTTAATATCTGAATTTCCTCTATAATGTCTCCACCAAGTGGTAGTTATCTGGCTTGAACATGGTCAGATATATTTAAGGTGTATCACTTTCTCTTTGAAGCTATTCCAGTTGTTAAGAGTTTTTGTTTGTTTATTATTGAGTCTATTAATTTTTATCCACCAATCTCAATTCAAACCTCAGTAACAATACAGGCACCAGTCTAGCTTGCTTGCTTACTTTTTCTTTCTTTCTTTCTTTCTTTCTTTCTTTCTTTCTTTCTTTCTTTCTTTCTTTCTTTCTTTCTTTTCTTTTCTTTTCTTTTCTTTTCTTTTTCTTTTTTTTTCCTGGTACCAATCCCCAGCTAATTTAGCTATCTTTCAGTTGATGGGTAGTCAAATATTTGAATACAATGGACTCCAATGGACTCCACTGGGCCAGCTTTTCTGCCAGATAAACATCCTTAGTGCCTTCAACTCTACTTGCATGACGTCATTTTGCAGTACTGTGATTTGTTATTTTGAATGTTCTCTTCCAAACAGTCTCTAATTTGTTAGAGTTTCCCCTGGGAATTGGACATGCCCATCTGAACATGATATGTATTTGAGGTATGATATGATCAAATCAACCAAAGATGCTCCTCTCTTACACTACTTGTCAGCCAATGAAAGCTACAGTTCCATTTGTCTTCTTACAAAATGATACCATGTTTTAAAACCCTGGAGTCTCACATTTTCTATTGTCAAGTCCTATCATCCCACATCTACACATTTACTTTATGGATATAAAGAAAAAATCATGGGTGTATTTATCCCTATTAAATTTCATCTGCGGTTAGACCAAACATACCTTACCCATTACATTTGGATGCCACTTACAAATCCAACCAACAGTGGCTGTCCATATTATCAACCAAGTTATTGAGAAATATGTTGAATTGGACATAGCCTCATAGCACACCACCAGGGACTCTCCTGCAGTAATTGTCCATCCTCTGCATAACTACTTTCAAAGTCATCCAGCAATCTACCTGACTCATCTACCTAACTGAATCTTGGAAGCAAAACTGTTAAGAAGTTTTCATGAGTGAACTGCAAAAGTTCAGAAAAGTAGTTACTCATGCTTATTGGATTTTTATGTGTCAAGTGTTCTTCTAAATGTGTATTTACACACATGCTATTGTAGCATCTACATGTAATCCTCACACAAATATTATGCAGTAGGCACTGTCATTATCTTCATTTAACAACACAAATAAGCAGCTCAGTAGTTTACCCAAGGTCATGTTGGAAGTAAAGGATAGAGAGAATTCTGTCCCTGGAAAACTGACTCCAGAGCCTATGACTTCCCTATGTTACACTTACATGGAATAGCAGAGCTAACACTTCTCTGATATTCAGTCTAGTAATTCTAAAAGAAGTAAGGTTGGTCTTCTATGGCTTGTCTTTGGGGAAACCCTACTCCTTCCATAAAGGTTCAAGCACTATTCTTTTAATAAGTAGCTTAATCATCTAGAGTTTTACCCAGTACGTGTGCATAGATAGACTGCCAAAAGTGGAGACTTATACCTTAAAATATAAAAGTCAGATTTGTACTTGCCAGTCTCGAGGCATCTGGCTCCTCTCTCACCTGTTGGCTAACTCTCAAAATCTTTTACAAATCTTGTGAATTCAAGATTCAAATAAATCTTCTTCTCTTCTCTCTAAAGATCACTTGCTTTCTCAGCTTTAAGAAGCAAGGTATGAATGTATCCATTTCCTTTCTCTCTGACACATTTGTTTGTTTTAAGCCTCAACCTTTTTACAAAAATAAATCAAGGCAGCTCTGTCATCTGTTGTCATTACACTATTCATCCACAATGACAAGGTTCTTTCTTTTTCCCTCTCTTTGCTCCTAAACTAACATGCAAATTGCTTTTCTTTTTTTGTTGTTGTTGTTCTTAACATTGTTTTCAGGCCTGAATCCATTCTGGATCTCAGCTAGCCACATGACACTTTTATGCTTATCTGTTTATTTTAAAACAAATTTACTTAAGTCAAAAGTGACTGGCTTGACTTAAAGTATTAAAACAGTAGGATGATTATGTGAATATTGTTAAAATTTGAAAAGGATTCATAAATAAAGTTAATCTGAGAAGCATTTCACAATAGGAAAAGACTCAAAGGTTAGGATAAACCTAAAGAGAGCAAAGTTATAATAGCTGCAAAGTTTACCCAGTCCTGATTCCTGGATTAGAGTTCCTAATTGCCTTGAGGTGGTACTGAAATGCTCTTGGTTGATTGTTTTGACTTTTTTTTTTTTTTTTTTTTTTTTTTTTTTTGGTACTGGGGATTGAACTCGGGTCCTTGCACTTGTGAGGCAGGCAGTGGAACCACTGAGCTAAATCCCTGGTCCTCTCAGTCAATTTCTGAATGATTCCAGATTCCCTCTTACCTAGAAAAAACTGTCATCCCTTCCCAGGGTTGCAATTAGGGTTGAGACCAAAATCCCTCAAGAATCATATGATCCCTTTTCAAAAACAAAAAAAATAGACAATTTGCATTTCTGAGCCCCTTTCAGGATGGACCACACACACACACACACACACACACACACACACACACGTACACAAACATACACACAACCACACCTTGGGTCTAGCCTGGACCATTTCTGTACACCCGAACATCCTCAACTTGGCCTAATGCTAACTGTTTCCAATGTTAGTAGTTTTTCACCTTTATAGATATCTGCTTGGGTACTTTTGAGTCTCTTTTTGGCTGTCTACCTTCCATAAGTTTCACTGATTCCTCTGTTGGATGCATTTCCAAAGTGTCCTGAAATTTAAATGCTGTATCTTCTGCATCTAAGGCTGCCCACTTTGATATACCTTCCGATTCAATCTGGAAAATACTTGAGACATCTTCGAGAAGTTCCTCAGACATACTCTGTTGGAAGAAGTAAACATAAAGAATGCTTTCTTTGTTGCTCATCCCAACATTTTCAATTGTGCTATATTTTCTGACCAGAAAATTAATAGAAAAATGCATGTTTGAAATTGAGCAGAGGTGTGAAGTTTCCTCCCCAAATTTAGAAAGAAAAATTTAAACTGACTTAAGTAAAATATGAAAGCTGGCAGATTATTTTCCTTGGCCTCCTCATATTGTTTCAGAAAATATGCTCATTCTCCCATTGTTAGGCACAAACTTTAAGGAAATAGAAGGGCTTAGATATTACTGTGATGCTGCCCAGTACTCACACAGGATCGAGCCAGTGCACAGTCCACAAAAGGCACTGCTGAAAAGTTCTCATTTCATTATCCCACCTGCCTCCCAGACCAGCCTTGTAGCCACAGAAACATTGCCCAGCTTGAGGCTCTTTGGGCCTGAGAAATGGGATTACTTGTAGCTAGCTGCTCTTCTAGATGCCTGACTTCATTTCCCAAGGAAGAGCTAAGCTACAGGCCCCTGAAGGCCACCAGTTACCCAAGCTCCATGCCATGCCGGGTTGAGAAATTCTCACAAGATGTTGCTCCCCTGCCTACATGTGCTCTTTAAAAATTTCCCATTGACATATATGTGTATCATACCAGATTATACAGCACTGTCAGCTAAAACTTCATTGCCTCAGTCAAATGATAAGACCAGCTTGATTTAAATAAAAGCCCAAATCATATAGAAAGACCTTAAAATGCAATGTATAATTTGTTCTTTGATAAATTCACTTGCTAATAAGTAAAATACAGGGTAAAAGATGTTATACAGTACCAATACTACACCAGCTTTTTTGTTATTCAAGAAGGAAAACTGTATGAAGTCTAAGTTTATAAAATGAAGCTTAATTCTTGAGCTCTGCTTTTTACCAAGCTACTGGCTGGTGTTATGGAAAGATTAAGAGTTTGTTAACCAGATGAGACTTAATTCAAATCTTAGACCTGGCCTTGAGCAATGCCTGTAACTTGATCAAGTTATTTAAATTTTTTTCATTACATTCATTGGTGTATTTTAGGTATACATTATGATCACATTTATCATTGGGAACGCCTACCGTGATATATCTTGGTTCTTGTTTTTTCCCCATTTTTCTTCCCTCTCTTCCAGCCCTTCATCCCTCCCTATTTACAAAGACTTTGTTTCCAGTCTTTCCTTCTTTTTGCATATTTTTCTTTCCCTTCTTTGCTTCCTCCAGCCCCACCCCCCCACACTTCCCATTCCCCTTTGAGAAACTTAAAGTGTAAATGAGGAGCAAAATGTATAATACTTAAACTTTTTTAGCCTCACTTTCCTCATTAGTCAAAGGGGGTTGACAAAACCCTTTTCAGAAATGTCAAAGTAGATATGGGGTGATATAGGTTATGGACCGTGCTGCTATGCTGTCTACCTAAGATAAACTTTCATTTTATGTTCCTTAGCTTTGGGCATTGTCCTTCATTCCCTCTCTTTTGACTTTCTCTGCTCCTACCTTCCTCTCCACAGTCTCCCACACCACCCACCAAAATAGAAAATGGAAGAAACACTTGAAAAAAATGGCAGCTGCAGTTCCCCATCTTCAAAATGCTGCCTGGCCTTGCCTGCTCCACAAAGCCTTTCTTGATCAACTCTTGTGAGCCTTGCCTCTGTGGTACCATTACAACTGCCTACACGGCTATCTTTGTAGTACTAGTCTCACTAACAGATATGAACACTATCTTATCTAATTTTAATACTGAGCATAGTTCCAAGAAACAGGATCTGCTTGTACCCCCATTTTATAGATGATGCTATGGTTTGGGTCTAGATATCCCTCCAAAGCCTCGTGTGGTTATACACTTGATCTAGAGTGTGTGAAACTGGAATGCTAGGCTATAGGCACTAGGATTAATGGTGTGAGTGCTACCGAGCTCAGTAGTCTGGATAAGATAAAAGGGGCAGGGAGATGCTGTTATGTTTCCCTTGTTGCCTTTGCTATCTTCTACCACGATGAACTGAAGCTCTTTTGTCGCCTTTGCTACCATGTGTGTGCTGTGTTGCCTCTCTACTGCGGAGCTTGTTTGCCACCCCAGCCTCACAGCCAGCCGATAATGGACTAAAATCTCTATGGACTGTAAGCCAAATAAGCCCCCTCCCTTTCAACTTTGAGTGTTGATTATTTTGTCTCAGCAACAAGAGAAAAGTAACTAACACAGATGAGGACATTGAATCTAACAGAAGTTATATAAATGCCCAATGTCATGCTTTCAGTGATTTCAAACTTTTTATTTAGCCCAGACAGGCTCTACACTGTACTTTCTATTTGCCCTTCAACCAAAGCAAGCTTCAAAATATGGTCCACAGACTCCTGACAGTGTTTGAGAGCCTTTCATGTGGTCTGCAATGTAAAAACATTTTCATAATAATACTAAATTTCATTTAACTTTTTCTACTATGTTGAAATTTGCACGGATGATAGAAAGCAGTGGTGGACCAAGTGGTGAGCCAATACTTTTCCAGCGACTAATATATTAGGTTATACAACTATTCATGGAAAAGATTGGCTGAAACAATAAGACAAATCAATGGATTTAATATGATGATATGTAACAAGCTCATTATCTGATTGCTGATTCCATGATGCAATTAACCTTTAAGTACCAGTTGTGAAATTTTGCTGCCTTAAAAAAGAGGGGTATCCATAATTACATTGAAAGAGTATTAAAATATGGCTCCCTGTCCATTCTGTATGAGACCACATTTACTTAACACACTTAATAGCCAAAGCATATTAATATTATTAATCAAAAGAACATATTACAACAGATTGAACACAAAAGTAGACCTAAGAATCTCACTCTGTCAAATCAGATATTAGATTTACAGAAAATGTAAAGCTATCCTACTGTTCTCACTCAAATATTTTTCTGTAATAGACTTAACTGTTATTTTAAATGAGCACTTTTAATTTTCCTGTTTTCGTGTATAATAGGTAAACATCAGTTGATGTAACTCACATAAACAAGAATTTGGGGTGTCCTTAAAGTAATCTTTGAAAGTAAACAGCCATCCCAAGACTAAAACATTTGAGTACATCAAAAGTTTAAAATTTGAGAACTCTTTAAAAAGCAAGTTGTTTTTTCCATTTCTTTCTTATGCTGGGCCTTCATGGCTTCTATCATGGTCCTGAGCTCATCCATTTTTTTGTCAGTTTCTTCTCTAGAGTCTCAAATCATGACTTCTATTTTGCTCACTATCTCTATTGTTATCTGGGAAATTATTTCTATTTTGAATTTTTCTAGAGCCCGATCGATCTGTTTTGTTACTTCCTGTTTTTTGAGTTCAGGGTGTTCTACTATCAGCCTTTTCATCCTCATTTGCCCTACTGTTTGCCATTGGTAAACTGGAAGTCTGTCCTTGTGTTTTGCTTAAGTATTTTCTCATTTTAATTTTTGTTGTCGGAATGTCCCTGTTGCCCAACATAGGAAAGAAATGGAATCCATAAAACAGATTCAAACAGATATCCAGGGGATTAAACACTCTATTAAAAAGTGTACGCAACACAATAAAAGAATGCAAAGACAGGCTCTCAGATATAGAAGATAAGTTTGCAGTCAGTGACCATGAAAAGAGAGCTCTCTTAAAAACAGTAAGAGATCATGAGAAATCGATACAACAACTCTTAGGTGATGCAAAGAAGAATAACATAAGACTGATAGGAATACATGAAGTAGCAGGAGAAAATACAAATGACTTTAAAAAGCTGTTCGCAGAATTAATGACAGAAAACTTCCCAAACAGAGGTGAAGAGTTTGACATTCAGATAACTGAGGCATATAGGACCCCAACTAGCTACAATCAAAAAAAATCTACACCTAGACATATAATAATCAAGATCCCAGAAACCCAACAGAAGAACAAAATACTACAATCAGTAAGAGAAAAGAAACAAATCGCATAGAAAGAAAAGCCCATCAGAATCACAGCAGACTTTTCAACACAAACCCTTGGGGCAAGGAGAGCTTGGAATGAGATATTTCAAGTACTAAAAGAGAACAACCTCCAACCTAGACTGATGTATCCAGCAAAACTCTCTTTCAAAATGGATGGGGAAATAAAACACTTCCATGATGAAACACCTGAGAAACTACATGAATACCAAACCAGCACTACAAGCAATTCTAAACAAGATCCTAGAAAAAGACAATGAAGGCAACAACACCATGAGGCCCGAGAGAGCAAATCAAAAAGGCAAGGCAAGAAATTAAAAGGAGAAAGTGAAAAAGTAAAAAGAGTCAACAAAAGGCCAATAACATGTCAATAATAAGTCAGTACATATCAGTTATAACCAGCAATGTCAATGGCCTCAACTCACCAATCAAGAGAAATAGACTGGCAAAATGGAATAAGAAGCAAAATCCAACAATATGTTGTATACAAGAAACACACC